CTAACCTCTTCGCAGCTGCGTAAGAAGAGACCATCGCCTAACTTCATGATGTTGGCCTTGTGCACCGCCGTCACCTTCTTGCGGCCCATCTTCACGGCGTAGTCGAACGCAAACTTCGCGATACGCTCCGACTTCGCCGCTGTTATTATCTTCAGACATTCCACAACACCTAGACAACTTATTTTTTTGATTTTACGAAATTCATCTCCTAAGGACTATAAGGGGTACAAAGTTTATATGGCGACATGATTCCTTTAATAGAATTACTTGAAAATTTTCAAACACTTAAAAAAAAAAACAAATGATTACCTTATTGAAGCTAAAATATGTTTTGTACTAAATAGGTTTTTAATAGCGAGGTGAAAAATTGATTCGAATTATTGAACTCCACGCGAACCATGTCGCGGAAAACAACTAGTTACTTTTTAATTCAGTAATTTAATCAACTCAATGCTACCTTATTGGTACTTGTCAGAACAGGCTATGTTTGTCTTCTTACAAACATGGCAATATTAAACTGTAACACCAAGCATTTCCCCGGCTGTACATAGATACAGGAACAATTGCCTTGTTTATTACGAAACTAAGGGATTGTCCCACCACATAATAGCGGATCAGATAGCTTAAAAATAACGTCACTGTCAGATAAGGGAAAAAAAAGATATTTCCATCACATATTTTATATGTTGGTTTGTGATGCAATTTGTCGGAACAGGCCATAAGTCTGCCTCCTACAAATATAGATTATTTCGCAACTCGTTTGAAAATGTTCAAACGATTGTAGCTTTAAGGAACACTGTCAATTTCCACGACTGTACCTTTGTACTGTTAAGTAAAAGGCGGAGTTTATCCTCTAATGAAGAACAAGGCAATTATTCCAAAGTAGAACACCGTGTATTTCCGCCACTGTACATCAATACTCACCGGGCACAGATTCATGTTCCAATGCGGAGTACTCCCCTTCAGTCTGCTCTCTTATTATGATGCAGTCCACGTCATGATGGCGACACTTCACGTTGGGCAGAGACTTCACATGGACCACGTTAGCGTACAGATCCAATGCATTCCTCAACTTCATGTTGAGAGTCTGCAACTCACCCGTGTGAGAGAAATCCGGAGTTGCTAGAATACCCTGCAAATTAATTACAATTTCACATACATATATATACCAAAGAGATCAAATTCTAGTAGATAGGAAAATGAATTTGAAAGGGGAAAGAGTTTTGTTTTTTTTTCTTATATCATAAGATGAGAAATAGCAAAGCAGCTGCTGCCTAGACATTCACAATTGCAGATATATTGCCTACATTTAAAAGACATATTTTCCCTTCCTATGCCTCTCCTACACCATCAAACACTACACACTTTCCCTTTCCATCCTTTTCTTGTAAGAAAATAGTGCAAAAATATGGGATACTTCATATTTAACATTGGCACTTGCTTGTTTTACAACTTGTAAAAAAAAAAGATGCTTTGTAACATACCTTAATACAGATTTTGTTCTTTGCAATAGAGTTGACAACATCTTCAAGTGGGGCACTCAATGTAGGGTTGACCTCTGAAAAGAAGAACGACTCAAAGTCCACTGGGATATTTGCCGCCTGTAAAATAAAGACAATCTTAAGTATCATTTTACTAATATTTTAAATAATAATAATATAAATGCGAAAGTTTAGATGGATGGATGTTTGTTATAGTTTGTAGCCTAAACTGCTGAACAGATCTTGATGAAATTTGCCATAGATGTAGAGGATAGACTGGAAGAACACATAGGCTACTTTTTTTTTAAATTTCATGCGGTCGGAGTCGCATGCGTAATAGCTCATACAAATTAAAAAAATTGCTATTTTTAATCATTTTGTTTTTCTATTCTTGTAGTTGACAGCCCTGAGTTATCTTTGAAACCTCTAAAGTTACAATAGGCCTTGACTACTATAAGCCATTTAGCACATTGTTTTCTATTAAGGATATGTGACACCATACTAAATTACTAAACCAAACAACAGTAGCTATAATAAATGTTTCAACATGACAAAGGAGTCTACATTATTTTTTAAAGGTATTATTACATTCCAACCCATAATAATATTGAACATAAAAAGCACAGCATATTACTCTAAAATTATTTTCACATACATAAGATTAGCTAATTTATTACAACAAAAAATAAAACTTTATTTCAATATATCTCACAATATTGTTAAAAAAGAATAGCTGAATTTAATTTAATTACCTCCATATTTGTTAACTGTTTACATAATGAATGCCTGTAATATAGTTAATAATTTATACACACCTTGAAGACTTCTTGAACAGAGTAAACCATTTCTGGTCCCACACCATCTCCGGGGATGAGGGTGCATTTTATGCGACCCTCTTTAGTTTGCTATATAATAACACATTTGATTAATATTTAGATCATAGCAGAGTGTAATCATAAACAAAGATATATGCAAAAAATACATAAATCTCATACAATTCAAGTTTTACTATTCTATGGTGATTTTTAATACATTTTCCAAAAATCATATTCATTTTGCCAATAAATTATTAGAAAACTGTAAAACCATATACAACCATTTTATTATTTTAAAAATTTTGATTTCATTATAACCTTAACATATATAATTGTATATAATATTTAGAAAAATAATGCACTTGTATACAAAATAAATTACACTTATAAATAATTCATTTTTAATTGACACAACATCAAAGTTATTTATTAAAAATACATTTGGACGGCACAAACATATACCAAGGGGCATGCTTTAATAAATAACATTTAAAAACATAACAAGAACATGCTTCAGTTATGTACTGAGCCATTCTATCCTTCTCTAATAACACCAAGTAACCAATTATAATTTTTTTTACTAAGTATCAAAACATATATATGGTAATTTACATAATATGAAAATGCCAATTCACCTTTTTAAACAATACCTAAGCTTAGTTTTAAAAAAGTTTTTTTTCAATAGACAAATGGTCATTTCAAATTAAAAACCTACAAATTGCGATATTTGTATGGACGCTTTTATACTGCATGTTGTAAAGAGTTAAGATATAACAAATGCTTCTCACATTTGTCATATTTTATCCCTTGGAGCATTCTCCCAATAAGAAAGATTGATTTTAAATGACCATTAAAAACCACCTTTGCAAATAAAGACATCTTTAGTTCCTTTGTAATCTTTACCCACATATCAAATTATGCCATTTTGTTGTTGAGCGTCGGTGGCTCAGTGGTTTGAACACTTAACTTGTAATCTACAGGTCTTGGGTTCGAATCCCG